CCCCTATAGCTTCTGCTCTGGCCGCCTTCATCTCGGTCCTGATGGCCTTGCCGAAATTCTCTAGTTTTCTCTCGACTGTTTCTTTCAGTGTAATCGGCTCGCGCTCCTCCTTTCCTCGTTTGCGCGGAGGGTTTGCGTCTTCGCCTAAGCTGTGGTTGTGTTCTCGGGGGGGGGGGGGGGGGGGGGGGGGGGGGGCGCCTCACTTCTAGGTGTCTCTTCTTCCCTGGGTTTGGATGCTTGCGCGTTAGCGCTTGTGATCTCGGGGGCCGCGGGTGCGGCCTCTTTTTCTCTGTTTAGTGTTGCTACTTCCCTTTTTAGCTCCCTCTTCTCTTGCATGACTAATTCTAAAAGCTGCCGAATGCGTGCAAGTTCGGATTGCTCGTTTTGTTTTGGGGTGAGGGCGAGTATCCCTATCTGTCTAATATTAGCTTTTCGGGAGACCGTGCTAGCCCAGCTTACCTGTTCTTTCGGGAGCCTTGCAGGGCCGCCGTCACAGCGGTAGTCGTTGGCCTGGTCCTCCCCGGGTTTGCGACCTATATCCCGGGCTCCGGTTGGTCTGCTCGCCTGGCTCTGGTCCCTGCGGGGTGTGAATGTCTTGTCTCGAGATTCGCGGGTCTTCGCGGCTCTCGGCCCTCGACTTGTGGTTTCCACTGCCGGGCAGACGGGGGAAGGACTCGGATCTCTTCCTCCCCGTCGCTGACGGGCTTCTTTCGCGTTCTCGCTCTTTGCTGTGCGATTGTCGTCCCTTGGAGCTTCTCCGTCGTCGGTCTGTTTCATCTTGTCGGAGCTTCTTTTCCCACTGCCGTCGTCGGAGCAGGTACGGGGTCTGGAATCTTTGATGACACTTCTTGTCGCCCGTGGGGTGCCCCTTACCGCAAAGTGCGCACTTCGGCTCGCATGCGTGGCTTTCGGGCGGTAAGCCAGCGGGTACGGAGAGAGTAACTAAATATCAGTGCGTCATAATTTAACCGGAAGACACGGAAACCTCCTCCACCTACGAGGGCGACCCGCGTTGCCGAGCGCACGCGATGTGAGACGTCTTTGGTCCTGGCCTTACTACTGGTCAGAGCTGCTAAAAGCTTTTATTTTAGTCGAGACACAAAATATAAATGTTGCGAACCGTTTCAATCACGTATAAAGGTAGTTTTTGTTCAGTATTTTAGATCAGAAAAGAAACAAATGTAGTTTATAAAGTACGGAAACAAGAAATGTTCCGTCGACATACCCGTCACCAAGCGGTGGAAAGAACGGCGCATACTAGAAAGGGCTAGTGGGATGAGGCGCCGACAAACGCGGAGCGTAGAAAGGTCCCCGATGTATGCGGCGGCGCTGCAGTCGTATACCGGCTCGAGGATCCGACCGGTTCCGAGCGCCTTCGGTGCGGGCTTGGCTGGCGATTTGGCCGTATGGCGGCATGGCAGTGCGAAGTGGCTTCCATTCTGAACTGATCTTTACCTAGTGTTTGCTGCCATTTGTGGCCAATGAAGTGGTAAAGCCGAATTAGTCTTTAATCGCGCAGCAAATGCAATGCGAGCCGCCCTGGTCGCCCGCTTCATATAGCCTATCCAACACATGCTTTAGTGGCGCCCTCTCGAGCCATCGACACTGAGTGCGGCAGCCGTGAGCGCTCGATGAGCTCACTACCCCTCCTCTAGTTCACGGCCACTTGAAGCCAGGACCTACGACGTCATGAAGGAGGTTATTTTTTGCTTGTTTTTGTAGTTCTAATTTGTTTATAACTTTCAAAATAAAGCGAAATTTGAGAAAGTTTCATTAAAGGGATACTTCAACGAAATTTGAAATATTTTTGTCGTGTTCAAAAATAGGTTCAATATGATCCACATTATCCGTAAATGACAATCGCACGTTTGTATTTTGAGCCTGGTGGCTGTATTTTTCGTTATAAACGGCCCACTTTGGCAAGCGCTCGGAGAAGGCCCAGCGGAGACCACGTGACATCCAACGCAATCGTGACGTAGGTCGTCTCAAGACTACCAAAGCTACGGCGAGGCTGACGTCGAGAGGATGGCCTAGTCGTTCCAGCCACCGAAGCGGCTGCTTTTGTACAAATTTTGAGTGACGGTTTAATCTTCTATAATCTTGTAGGGGGACAATAGAGACTTCTGCGACACACAAAAGGCATTCTCGGGAAGAGGGGAGTTCCTCCTGCCCCTCTTCTCTCGTCGTGGCCGGATTCGAGACAACCTCCGTCACTAGCTGCCAAGGTTGCTAGACGGGCATTACAAGCGAGGCGTTAGCGACATCCACCAGGTGCTCTTTGCTAATCGTTTAATTCGTTTTAAAATTCCTTTTCGTGACTTTTTTAAAGAGATATTGGTATGTTCGATTTGATGGTGCTTTTTTGAACACATATAGACCAAAAAATGAGCGCCAAAATTTCGTTGTAGTATCCCTTTAAGTTACTGCGTTCAGTGTACTCAGGTTTGGTGCAAATTAAAAACCTGTCAAAAAGGCCTTGTAGGGCCCCTTTAAGCTTTGCCGATTCAGTGGCTCTAGGTTGGACGGGCTCGCGAGATGTCGGACAGAGATTACAAGAACAGGACACCGACCTTGTTCCAGGGGCCGGGGAGCCGCCCGTGCTTCTCCCGGAAAGCGTGCAGCGCCTGGAACCCTAGGTGGAACTGTGCCGGGCGCTCCATCTTGCCAAAGTCCGACATGACAAACTCCGGGGCTTCCAGGGACACCTCCAGGGGTTTCTGCAACGAATGTGTGTAACTTGTTCGTGAAGCTACTCCACGTTAAGCCGAACATTTAGACACTGAGGAACTCTGGCATTGTTTTTTTTGCTACCCAATTCAACGAAGTTTCAGTTCATAGTTTCTTTTCAATTCGTATGTGCAAAAATCCTGTTTTCTCTCTTAGAGCGCAGCTCTTTGTAGGTGCCCGTTTCCGGCTTGAGCGGCGTCGACGTCAATGTAACCGTGCGGTGCATTATGGGAAACATCTCGTAATGCATTGCGGTGATGCGCGCGTTGCATTATAGGAAGTTTTCCATAATGCACCGCGCAGGAGGCAGGAGAGGGAGGAGGAGGGGAAAATAACAAGATTCCACTGTAGTAGGAAGCGTTAAGATTCGGATAACCGGAATGCAACATGCGACACACGCTAGCTCCGTCATAGCAACGTCTTTACCAGTTGCCTGCTCCATTCAATGTTTACACCATGCCCCTTAACACATCTTTACGACAACCAAAAGTGTGCAGCTTAGAATGCAACTTGCATTCATTACTGTATATATTTTTCAAAGATTTGACTGCACATGATTGACGTCGAGAACCCAACAATTTAAGCCCTCGCGGGGCGTCACTCCCTCAACATTGTGTCAACAAGCTACATACAAAGGTTAGCATCAGTACAGTCTAAGCCCGTTATAACAGACCTTGATTTTGACCAAGATTTCGGTCTGTTGTAAAAGGAGCATGTTGTCTGCAGATACGAAGTTGAGTCACTCACGCATAGAGGAAAACCAACCAAATTTCACAAATCGGTATGTTATATCCAAATGTCTGTTGTAGCCAGGTCTGTTATAATGAGCTTACACTGTACACCGATTCAACATCACCACAAGCAATTACAAAGTATGGGAAGTTGTAGTACTCTACGCACGAACAGAGACCAAATACGTAGTGCGTCGACAAATGTAGGGCCGGAAAAGGTCACTTACAAACTTGATGTCCTTGGGCATTTTGACCTGCGTGGCCACTCCACCCCTGACATAATCCGAAAAGTTGGACGTGTCCCCAACGCTGAATGTGTAGGGTCCTGCAACACACCAGCCAGAAAATGCCATCTTCAATGCCATGCCTCTTTCCTCTCATTTTTTTTTTCACCCATTGCACCATACATTTGCAAAAGCATTGAATAACCCTGGTATTGGCTACAAGAAATATTTTCCGAGGCTACCGAGACCTTCACACAAGTTTTCTGAATGGTCCGCTCTAAGTAGCAGATTGCTCAGATTATATATTATCACCACCAGAAAAATTTTATTACACGCCTATTTACATTTGCGATACGAATTTCAAACATGCCAGAAGCTCCACCCTCAGTGCGAGTCTTCTCCTTCCAATAGCATTTCGGGTCCCGCAAAC